CTTTCAGTTTTCACACATCATTATTATGTATATGTAGAACAGCCAATCGTATGACGAATAGCGGTATGCCAGGTGTGAGCATATTCGTCACGGATACGCAAAGTCAAATTAGTTTGTCGATATCAAGTGGGTTTACGAGGTGATGCTTCATATGCCGCCGATAGAAAACTGTCACTGAAGCTGATCCTCTTCATTGTATTGCATTTCATCCCGCCATCATGATGCTGTTTACTGCTACACTGATTCAATCGCTAATGCTACGAATTTACGCTGCGTATGTAAAACGGACAAGTCCAGGTAAAACGCTCGCCGGCTGAACGCCGATGGTGCTCCACCCGCGTGCAGTGAAGCGAATCATGGCGATACAGAGAAGACAGGCTTTTTGTTTACATCGTGACGTGTGACAGCCTAGAATAATGGGACATAATTTCCCAGTCAGTCTTAGATCTGTTTTAAAGCCACATTGAAATCAAGCAGGAATCCTTCGTGTTTGTCCGTTTTACGTTAGGAATACCGCTCGCATGAGTTTGAGTACATCTGTATTGTTAAGTATGAGGTTGCCTGTCACTTAGCGACACGCTCGTTTGTCGGTCTCAATGTACACGACAAGGTCAACAACTGTTTTCGAAGAATTACGAGGTGAACCAACTGAATAGTGAACGGGAAACTATAGACGCAGACTCCCATCCAGACGCAACATCCATTTTGTAAATTGCTTTTCGTTGCGTGACTATCAAATCACCGACGTCAATTTTTCATTAATAAGAGTATTGGATTCATCAATCCGATTTCTCACAATGCGCACCTCTTATAGCTAATCCTACACATAGTGTAACCAACGGTGAATGAGGACGCGCGCTTACTAATTGTCATACGATAGATCGTGGCTCTTCTTTTGTCTGGAACTTCAACAATTGTGTCCACGGCAGTGATATGAAATCATCGATCGCAGACAAACGTATATGTATTAATAACACGCACACTAACAAATATTATATATATATAAAATATATCAAAACATACATAATCTACTAACGTACAGATTTCTTCCTGTCTGTGCACCGCATTATACGTATCGCTGACACGTAACTTCAGAGACAAAAACGCGGTTTAAATAAGTATTAAAAATGCAGGAACGCTCAACATAAGCAAAGAGGAGAACACTGCCGCCGATATTCATACTGCTATCATAAATACATAGCAGCTACATGATTTCGCACTCCTCGTCAGTAGCACTTGGTGTCCACTTTGTAGTGCGTACTTCCCGAATGTTTTGCCTTTGCAAGAAAATGCAAAATTACCGAGTTGAAACGCAATAACGTTGTATGAATAAATACGTTTTGCATTCGTTTGAAATAATATCAATGTATCGACTATTGTTCTTGTTGTTGTTATTATTATTAGTTTTATTATTATTGTTAATATTATTATTATTCATTACTATCTTGTATGTAATCTACTATGGCTCTCGCTCTCTCCCTCTTTCTTTCTCTCATTTGTGTGTGTGTGTGTGTGTGTGAGTGTGTGTGTGTGTGTGTGTGTGTGTGTGTGTGTGTGTGTGTGTGT